GTTTAGTTTTTTTTTCTCGGTGGGGGGAGTGGGGAGGACCCTTTAGAGTAGTGCTCAGAAGTCCTGGGACCACCCATTCCTGTTACCTCCAACCAAGCTGGTCAGCTCAATGTTCAGGCGTGGTGCTGGAGGCCCCTGTGTCATCCCAAAAGGGCTTGGGGACCATGCCAAGCTATGGATTGAATTTGGCTTGTGCAAGCAAGGCATCCACCTCTGCTCCCTAATCTGTCTCCCCAAGCCTCACATGACAGTTTAAAACTGGCCCTTTGTTCAGCTGTTTGTTTAATGTGCCTTATTCTTCTGAGCTAGGGGTCAGGCTGGGGTGAGGCCCTTACTTCATGGGGCCAGCCCGTCAGCACCATTTGAATCTCTGAGCTCCAGGTGTGTCACAGAGGATGACATTTGAGATATGATCAATGCCCTCATTATAGCAGTGGAAGGTAGAAATGCTGAACCTTCTTCCTGTCAAGGGTTGTTTGCTCAGGTCAAGGTCAATACTCAGAGCCTTATCTGCACCCTCGGGACTGGCCCCAGGGATGATCCTGCCCACTCCTCTTGTGCTTCCAGCTAAGACAAGGGAGAAGAGCAGAAAGGAGCTGAAGAGTCCCACGATGGCATAAATTATGGTTCTATAAAGTGTTACTATTATTTTTTTGGAAGGCCCTTCTGGGTATCCTTGGCTAAACTCTGGCAGTGCAACTTATGATGATGTGCTGCTTGGAATCTGTGATGCTGGGGATCACCAGGGCCACGAGATATGTGCGGGTCTCCAGGGCTGCACCCACAATGCTCAGGGAGCAGGTAGTCCAGAGGCTTGAACTTGACTGACTGTAAGCAAGGCATGAGACTTAACCCTCACACTATCTCTCCAGCCCACATCTCCTAGAATAAACTTTGGTAACGTGTTCAGTTAAAAGCAGAACTACGTAAGATAATACAGGGGTGAAGGCGCTTGCCTTGTATGCCAGTTCAAATCCTGGCACCAAATATGGTTCCCAGCACATCCCCAAGAGTGGCCCTGAGATCAGAACCAAAATAAACATAGCTGTGACAAGCGAAGAATTTTGGAGGAGAAGTAGAAAAAGACAAAACAAAACCCTGAGATCCGGCCAGACCTGTGGTACACTGAGGTCAAAGGTGAATGGGCAGTAGAGCGATGACTCAATGGGCTAAGTATGTAGTGTGTGTGTGTGTGTTAAGCTACAACCGGCAATGCTCAGGGCTTACTTTTGACTCTGTGCTCAAGGATTACTCCTCGTGGGCTCAGGGAACTATCTGGTGTGCAAGTAATGGAAACTGGATTGGCCATGTGCAAGAAAAGACCCTTACCTGCTGGAGTCCAGCCCCTCAACACATGCTTTGCTTGCTGAGGTTCAATGCTGGTACTCTGTGGTCCCTCAGACACTGGCAGGAGCAACACCCAAGCAGTGTCACAGCACTCAGCCAGCATCGCCCCTGAGCACCACCAGATGTGGGCCCCAAACATTTTATGAAAAAATAAAGTTGGGGGCTGGAGTGATAGTACAAGCAGGTAGGGCATTTGCCTTGCACGTGGCCAACCTGGGTTTGAAACCCAGCATCCCATATGGTCCCCTAAGCACCGCCAGGAGTAATTTCTGAGTGCATGAGCCAGGAGTAACCCCTGAGCATCACAGGGTGTGACCCAAAAAGCAAAAAAAAAAAAAAAAGTTGCAGAGTGGACATGCACTTGACACTTCAAGGAATGTGTTTTTTCTCTTTCCCACTCTGTCCCACAACTGGGCTCCTGAGAAAAGCAACATGGGGCCTGGGCAACAGTTGGCTTATTCTTAAATTTATTTTTGAATTTTTGAGCCATACATCGATGTTCTCAGGGTTTACTCCTAGTTCTTTGCTTAAGGATTATTCCTGTCGGGGCTTGGGAGATCATCCGTGGTACCAGGGATCAAACCCAGCTCAGTCATATGCAGACTAAGCACTTACTTGTAGTACAGTAGGGCCGCAGAAACACTTTTTTTAAAATTTTTTGTTTGGGGGCCAGAACTGAAAGATCACTGCTGGCAGGGTTCAGGGAATCACCAGTGTGACCCTCAGATGGCCACATGCAAGGCAAGTGCCTTTAACTACTTCTCTCGCCCAAGGGTGAGTCTTGGTTCAGGAGTCAGAAGGCCTCAGTCAGGTCTGAATTTCTCCCATCCAAGTACTAACCAGGCCTGATCCTGCTTAGCTTCCGAGATGAGACGAGATCAGGCATATTCAGGGTGGTATGGCCATAGACTTGGGCCTGAATTTCTGAGTTGCCTGGCAACACCCTAAGGGAATATTGGCACATAATTTCTTTAAACTTCCATTTTCTCACCTTCAAGATGATGATGCTACCTAGGTTAGGGGAATGTTGAGTGAGATAAATGTACATTTAAAAAAAGTTATATACCTGGACTGAAAAGGAAAGCATCTCAATGAATGGCACGTTTTCACTAAGCCATACTTTTTATTTTTTTAAATTTTTATTAGTGAAACACCATGAGGTACAGTTGAAGACTTACAAAAGTAAGCCATACTTTTATGGAAGATCCAAATGCACTCTCCTTCCTAGCCTTTGCTGTTTGGGGGAAAGCTTCTCAAGTTCACGTCCCTGTTTATTAGGCAAATCTGGGGGAGTGGAAGAGGACTGAAGGTCTTCCTTGCCCTTAAGGAGTAAGAGTACCTATTTCCAAAACAGGATCCTAACCAGATCATCACTGGTTTTGAGTTACTGGAGTTACTTGATTGGCTGGGTTATAGTTTGCGGGATGTGCTAACTAGACCAGTAGCGGGGTGGGGTGGGGAGCAACCCAGGCTGAGAAAGCATCTGCATGGTTTCCTGGTACTTGTCCTTATGTTTTAAAGATTCTGGAGCTCTGCCTTCCTCCTACCAGTCTCCTTCTGTGGGTCACCCTTTGGCAGACTCTGCCAGTGATGGAAACAATGGGATGTGGGCAGATAGCAGCTCGACAGGTCAGGGAACTGCTGGGAGATGAAGCCTTGGTCCAGGCAAGCAGTGACCCCTGGATCAGAAATGGCAGAAGCAGCAAAGATAAGGACTTGTCTAGCAGGGATGGGAGCCAGGTTCCGTGGACAGGAAACCTGGGCCTTTTCAGCATTTCCTCGGTGGCGCCACAGCTGCTGACTGCTGACTGCTGACTGGTGCCACACCACATTGCATGTGGTGCCACATGCAATGCTCAGTCTGGCATCAAATTGTGAGTGTATTTCCAGGGCCTTTTAGTGACAGACTCCAGTCCATCTGAGCCGTTAAGTTTGCTCTGTCATACCTCTAAGCCAGCATTTCCTCAAATGGGCCTTTTGCCTACTGGGCCACTGGATTTCTAGAATAATGAAAGCTAAAACAGGTGGTGGGGGGGAGAGAGGAGGCACATTCTCTTCCTTCAGTTGAATAAGGTAGATTTTGGCCAATAGAGGAGTTAAGGTGCCTAAGCCCCAAACTACAGAAATCATGAGCACTGCAGGTTGCAGCTCTGGAGGCCTCCAGTCTTGTTGGGTAGGCCTAGGGATTCCTGAAATCACAGGGTCCAAACTGAATTGCTCCTCTGGCCCTTGCATTGCCTGGTTGGCTGAGTCACAGCTGAGGCCTGCAGACCTCCTGAGCACCACTTGGGAGATCCCTGTGTCCCACAAAAGAACAACCAGAGGGTCTGGAGTGATAGTACAGCAGAGAAGGCGTTTGCCTTGCACGTGGTCGACTTAGGTTCAATCCCTGGCATCCCATACTGGTCCCCCCGAGCACCACCAGGAGTAATCCCTGAGCACTGCTGGGTGTGACCCAAAAAGCAAAGCAAACCAACAAAAGCACCAGAAAGAGTTGTTCTATGTCTCATTGCTCCATACTGTAAAATTTGTTTTGTAGTGCCAAAATCAAATACAGAAAGCATAGGCTCTACCACTGCTAGACATTCCCCATACATGAGAAATTTGCACAGAAGCATGTTCTATGAAAAACATATGTGATCTGAAGACTTAATAGCTGGGAGATGCTGCAATATATAAAATCCCTGCCCACTGGACTTGGGGATTTTTTGTTTTCTCCAAATTTAAAAAAACTACACTCCCCTGTCCCCTGACTCCTTTTCTCTTATTAAAACAATAAGAGCTTCATGTCCCACTCTCAAGTATACGTAAAATTCATAACAAAATTTCTTCTACAAAGATAGAGGGCTGAAGGGATGGTATAGAGTAGACCCGGTTTGATCCCCAGCACCACATATGGTCCTCAACTACTGCCAGGAATGACCCCCGAGCACAAAAGCTAGGAGTAGCTTCTGAGCACTGTTGGGCCAGGACCCCAGACAAACAGTAAGATAGACCAATAGTCTAGCAGTAGTTAAAAGATGTGAGATCAACTGTCTACCATTAGACTTGACCAATCTGTGTTGCAGTGAAATTAACAGGAAACTATAGGCTGGGCAGTTTCTAATTTCAGTTACTACAGCTGTAAAGGCAAGCGGCAGCACTGATTATGAAGACCCCAATTACACCACCCAAAACTAAAAATGCAGGCCTAGAGAGATATTACAGGGCTTAAGGTGCTTGTCTTGTATGGGACTGATCCATACAAGGCACCAGATAGTCCCCAGAGCACTCCTGGGACCCTATGTAACACCAGATGTGGCCTCAAAAAAACAAACAACAAACAAAAAACAATAAAGCCCCAAACAAAACCAAAACTAAAAAATGTATGGTTTGGGACTGGAGTGATAGCACAGCGGGTAGGGCATTTGCCTTGCACATGGCCGAACCGGGTTCGATTCCCAGCATTCCATATGGTTCCCTGAGCACCGCCAGGGGTAATTCCTGAGCGCAGAGCCAGGAGTAACCCCTGAGCATCGCTGAATGTGACCCAAAAATTTAAAAAACAAAACAAAACATATAGTTTAGCTTACAGTGGAAGAGTTCTAGGACCCTTTAAATTAAGTTCATACAGGTACCCAGTTTATCACCATATAAATGAAAAGCCTCTAAAATACAAGTGTGATAAATACTATTTATTGTGATTAATTGCTCAGTTTATTAGCTGTTTTAATACAGTAAATCCTCATAGTGAAAATAATAAAGTAGAAATAGCTTTTTAAAAGCTTATTTTTATGATATGCTTAGAAAATATCAGACAAGGTGAAAATAACCTCCACAATGATAACACAAAGAACAAATTTCCTGCAGGGAAATCTGAGGATTGGACAGGCTGGCCACAGGGTTAAAGCCACATAAGCCGGAGAGATATGAGAGTGCCTACTTGGAAACTGCATCAGGAAGGCCTCAAAACATCACTCAGCGTCAGGAAGCTTCAGGAAGGCTAACTTCCACTTTATCAGCTTTGGGAAGTCCCAGAGAACTCCCTCAGCTATAGTAACATTCACTCCAGGAACACCTCTCCTTTCTGATGCCTCTTCATTCTTGAGTAGGGGCTAATTGAATCATCCATCACAAAATCATACAGTACTCTGATCCAGGAATTGTAATGGGGGAGGTTGTCGTAGTACTCAGCTGCAATTTTCCTTACCTGGAACAGAAAAAAAAAATAAATAAAAAAACATAGCCAAGGTGAGTGATGAGTGTTAATGGAGTCCAGTGAATGACAGCAAAAGACGGAAGGGAACGCTGCAGACTGATCTGATCTCTTTGCGGCTTGGAGAACTCTAAACAAGGGGGCCAGAGAGATACTACAGTGGGTAAGGTGCTTGTCTTGCACACGGCTGACTCGAGTTTGTTCCCTGGCTCCCTGTATAAGTCCCAGAGACCTGCCAGGAATGATCCCTTAGAGGACGACACAGGGTGCTGGGGATTGTAACCATGTTGGCTGCATGCAAGGCAAACGCTCTACCCACCATACTATTCCTCTGGCCCCTAGGATTAAACTCTTTTCCAATCAAACTTGGAGGGGCTAAGACAGTTTATTTGAAAAATATGACACTTCATATTTTTAACAAAAACGTGCAATCCAATTGACTTGGTTTTGTCACCCATACCTTACAGCTGGCACTGTGGGATACCTGAGCCCCGCCCATTAGGAACCTGCAGATGCTCATAATTTACCATGGCAGCCAATGAATTAAGAATTAAACACTTCAAATAGGGTGCAATCTGCAATTCATCCTCTTGGAAAGCTCTTTAAGAAAATGACTTTTGCCACCTTATAGTCAGAGCTGCGCGCGCACACACACATACACACACACACACACACACACACACACACACACACACACAAAATCTAACAGATCCCCAAATATCAATTAAGAAGTAGAATACACAATAGTTCACCTGCAAATTACTCCTTGCACTGGGAAATGCAGTTCTACTTCCTGGTTAAGAAAAAGCAGATGTGGGGCCAGCAAGATAGCACAGTGGGTAGGAAGCTTGTCTTGCACCTGGCTGACCTGAGTTTCATCGTGGCATCCCACATAGTTCCCTGAGCCTGCTAGGAGTGATTCCCTGAACACTGCCAGTATGGCCTCCAAACAAAAACAAAGTGGTTGAACACACAGCCAAAGAACAATGAATTCCAAACTGTCTTTCACTTTGGTGTTATCACAGTCCTTCCAAACTTCCTAAAATTCTTTTTATTTTTGGACCACTCCAGGTGGTGCTGGAGAAATATGTGATGCTGCAATCAAACCCAGGCCTTCGGCATGTAAAGCACATGCAGCCTCAGAATGTCCTAAAGTTCTTTCATGAAGGTGATCTATAGATCACATAATAAAACTGGTTCCTAATCTGCACTGAATTTATGTCAAACATACTGGAGCAATAGTAAAACAGGTAGGGCATTTGCCTTGCATATGGCCCACCTGAATTCTATCCCTGGCACCCCATATGGTCCCCTGAGCTCTGCCAGGAGTGACCCCCTGAGTACAGAGCCAGATGTAGCTTCCAAATCAAAACCTAAAACCCCAAATACAAAACACAGAAAGTCAAAAGACACTTCTGAGACTAAGACATTCAAGGTCAGAGAGAAAGGAGAAAGATTAAGATGTTTGTTTAACATACTTTTGCAGCCACGATCCTGATTCAAATGCTGGCACAACAGATGGTCCCTGAGACCCACCTGAAGTGGCACTGCTGGGTGTGGTAACACCAAGAGCAAAACAAATTTCAAGAGACTAAAAATGCATTTAGAGGCGCCAGAGTGGCTTGCTCTGCCAGCCCATGTTCCCCCTGAACATGCATCTCGCTGGCTCCTCTGTTTCTTTGCTTGCTTACAGTAGAAACTCTGGAGAAGTCTTTGTTCACTCTCAACATGTACTTTCATCCCCTCACATCTATTCCAGTAAGTCTTGATTCTTACTTCATCTTCCCCGCGCCCCCCACTCCCCCGAAACAAAGAGAAAAAAGGGGCTGAAGAAACAGCTTACTAGGCCAAGCTCATGCAATAGGCCCAGGCTTGATCGCTGGCACAGAATTCCAGGGATACAGAGCCAGGAGTGGCCTCCAGGTGTATCCCAACCTCTAACAAAGAAGTTTATAATTTTTTTTTTCTTTTTGGGTCACACCTGGCAAAGCACAGGCGTCACTCCTGGCTTACTCCTGGAGGTGCTCAGGGGACCATATGGGATGCTGGGAATCAAACCCGGTTCAGCCGTGTGCAAGGCAAACGCCCTGCCTGCTGTACTATTGCTCCAGCCACAAGTTTATAATTTTTAAATGTTTATTTATACAGATTTTTTGTTTTGGGGCCACACATGGAAGTGCTCAGGGCTTACTCCTGGCAGGGTGTCATGGTCCGAACCTGGGTCGACTGTGCATGCAAGGCCTGTGTTTTACCAGTGTACTATCGGGCTCTCATCCGCCATTTGTAGGAAGGCACAGAATAGAGCTGAGGGCTCAGTGGCAGGTGTGAGGTCAGGAGCACTGTCTACAAGCAGCCGAGGACAATGCAGTTCAGTAGCCACAACATAACCAGGTCCTGTGACGGGTCCTAGAGACAAATGTGTGTAACCCCTGGCTGCCGCAAAACCAACAAGAAAGGGGAGAAGATACCCTGTGAAAACTCGACTGATACTCCTAAATAGGAGAAGCCCCAAATTCAGGCCTGAGCCATGTGCCCAAAGCAGCCCAAACACTGACTTTGTAAATCGCAGGGAGTGTCTCTGTGCTTTGCAAGGATGAAAGCAAAAGGAAACCACTTGAGGAGGTTTGTGGATCGCAAAGACTCCTTGGCGATTGTGATAAACTTACTCAATTGATTCCAATGAAGTTGCTCAACTTTGTGAGCAATCTGTGAATGGGCGAGTTATGTATAGGGATTATACCTCAATAAAGCTGCGAAAGTCTCATCATATATACTTATTAACTATGAGATAGTTACACACAATCTAATAATGCAATATAACTATCTGATAAATACCAGATAGTTTATTGAGGAAAACATTCCTTGATCCAAAATCAGAAGAGCAGGAGGGGCCAGAGAGACAGGACAGGGGTTAAGGCGCATGCTTTGCATGCAGTTCAATCCTGATACCACCTAAGGTCCCCTGAGCACGGTCAGATGTGAACCCTGGGCCAGAGCCGAGTCAGCCCCAAGCACTACCAGGGGTGCCACCACCCCAAGAAAAAAGCAAAGCAAAGCATGAGTTGGAAGATGAGAGACTCCCAGGGTGTGTTGTCTTTCTGATGAAGGAATCCAGGAGGCAACAGGAGATGGAGTGGGAAGAGAACAGTCACTGGTGACTCATGAGCCTGCCTGCAGCCACGAAGTCATGTCTGACCGGAACTAAGTGTCTGGCTCAGAGATGGTTCAAGAAAACAATAAGCATGTGGGGGTTTTTTGTTTGAAACATTCTTCCATTCAAAGAGCAACTTTCTCCTTAAGCTGTCTCTTAAAAAAGAAAGAAAATCCCCTTCCTCAGTTAGGAAGAGACTTCACACGGACCATCCTGGTGAGTCCCGGGTAGAACACCAAACACCTGAGCTACCCCCATACCATGTTTAGTCCCCTTACACAATACTAGGTCACAGTATTTTTAAAAACGTCTCCACTAAGTCTTTAATGTTTATCTCCTGAGAACAAGGACATTCTACACAACCAGAGTTTCATTATCATATCCCCAAATGAAAACTGACAGGTGATTATCTATTACATAGATGAGACGCAAAATTTCCTCACTCATCTAATATCTTATCTAGATCTCCCTGTCCTCAATCAGGAATCCAATCAATTATCCAAGAGTACACTGAGCTGCCATGCTGTAAGAGTTTTTAGTTTTTGAGGGGCCTGCAGCAGTCGGGATGAAACTCAGGGTCTAGTGCATTTTTGTGCTCCGTCCCTCTCAGACATCTCCACAGTCCTGGCACGTGAAGTTTTATTCCTTTATTTTCACCTCTTTATTTTATGCTTTGAGGCCACACTCAGCAGTGCTCAGGGATTACTCTTGACTCTGTGCTCAGGACCACTCCTAGTGGGATTTGGGAGGATCATCTGTGATTTGAGAGATCCTGGATTGACCACGTATAAGGCAAGTGCCCTACCTACTGTATTATCTCTCTGGTCCACATATGAGTTTTTATTTTTATTTTTTTGTTTTTTGGGTTATTCCTGGCTGTGTACTCAGGAATTAGTCCTGGCGGTGCTCGTGTGACCCTATGGGATGCTGGGGATTGAATCTAAGTCAGCTGCTGTCAGGCAAACACCCTCCCTACTGTACTGTCACTCCGGCCTCACATGTGTGGTTTTAAACAGTCAACAAAAAAAACCATTAAGAAGAAAATTATGAATTTTGATTGGATGAACATAACAGCATAAAATGTCTATGGCTCCCTAATATCAAGGTCCCACAAAAAACAAAAACAACAACAACAACAAAAAAACATGGATGTGGCCCAGCAGAAAAGTCCTGGCTCCATATGAGTGAGTTTCTGGGTTTAATCCCACAAATCACAGAGCAAAGACAAGAAGCAACACATTTCATACACACTGCCATTTCTAGAATTGTGGACACGTCTTTAAAAAAAATAAAAGTTCCCCATTTCATTCTGGAGAGGATGAAAGGATGAAAGTCAAATATCTCTTTTTTATTTCGTCCACAAACAATACACTAAGGGGTTCATCCGGATCCACCCGTGGGAAGCTTGTAGTCACAGAAACTGATGTCCACTCAAACTGCAGCTCACTTATGTAGGACACCTGGTATTTCACAATCAGTCTAAATCAACACATAAAACTTAGCTAAGCCTATTCAGATTAGTAGCAATGAAAAGGTCAAGTGAACTTTTGTTTACTTCACAGAGGGCATTTATTTTTTGTACTTCTAAATTATTTACAAAATATTTTGCAGCAGGCTGGAGTGATAGCACAGCAGGTAGGGCGTTTGCCTTGCACGTGGCCGATCTGGGTTCGATTCCTCCACCCCTCTCGGTGAGCCTGGCAAGCTACCAAGAGTATTCTGCCCACACAACAGAGCCTGACAAGCTACCCGTGACGTATTTGATATGCCAAAAACAGTAACAAGTCTCACAATAGAGACGTTACTGGTGCCCGCTTGAGCAAATCGATGAACAACAGGAAGACAATGCTACAGTGCTATATTTTGCAGCGGTCACCCCTCTTACCTGCTATACTTCTAAACTGTAAGTAGTGCCATCAGCCTGGCAGTCTCCCAACTTAGTCTTAAGCTATTCTTTGGTAAGTACTATCCGTTTCTTTTGTTTATTTTTTGGGTCACACCTAGTTGTGCTACAGGGACCACAACGTCCCAGGGAATGTCCCCAGGCCTTCCACATGCAAAGCATGCATGCGGCCTGTTGAACTATTTCTCCAACCAACATTCCTTTATAAAACGAGTTAAGGGGCTGGAGAGATAGCACAATGGTTAAGGCACTTGCTTAGCATGTGGCTGAGCTGTGACCCTGATACCAATCTCTGCACTGCCAGGGGTGGCCCCTGAGCAGAGAGCCAGGAGAGACTCTGAGTATTGCTGTGTGCGGCCAAAATAATAACAACAACAACACCACCACCATCAACAACAATAATAAAAGTAGTTCAAAATAAATTTGTATCATCATATAAACATCAATAATTACAGTATGTACTGATTCCTTTACTTACCAGTGGAAGGCTTTTTCCAGGAATGTTAGGGAAGTCATGGTGTTCGTTATGGTAGCCCACATTGAAGGTAAGCAAATTCAGAGGCCCGTAATATGAGTACGTTTCATGTCCCTTTAGGAACATGTAGTGTTCTGCAATAAAATGTCCAGAAATTGGGTGCAAACCTAGACCGAGTAAGGATGCTGACAACATGTAGACTAAAGATTTAATTCCGAAAACATAGTAAACAATAATGTTGAAGGCGATCTGGACGGCAGTGTTGATCAGTTCCAGGTTAGTAATGGGTTTGGGGTTGATGAACAGAGGCCGAAAAGCATAGAAGAGAGGCTGCAGAACGATCCAAATAAACTTCCTGAAAGTAGTACAGAAGAACCAACCTTCAAAATCGGTTGGTATATCCACATCAATGCCATCCCCTCCAAGGTATCGATGATGATCCATATGGTACCTCTTAAAGGAAATTGAGTATGGAACACCGATAGGAAGATTAGCAAACATGCCAAACCAGCGGTTCCACATCGGTCTGCAGTTGCCAAAGGCGCTGTTATGGGACACCTCGTGGATGGCCAGAGTCATTGAATGGTTAATGCAGCTGCCAAAGGCATATGCCCAGAACATAACCCATTTCCAGTCCAGGTCCTTCACTAAATAAAATGCAACCAACTGGGTGAGAACCATCATAATTATAATCCAAATCAAGTTGGGGTCAGGTTTCATCAAGGATTTTATCTCTGGATACTTTGCTGCAAAGAAAAAAAAGTCAAAAATCAACAAAGGAGAAAAAGGCATACAAGTGAAAATCAAGAAAGGAGAAAAAGACATACAAGTTCCACAAGTATCACTAAACCAAAACTGTAATACCAGTTACTTATTTTTTCATTTCCCAGATCATTACACATCCTTCACTGTATACGAACTTAATACTGAGTATCATGTCACAACAAATAGGGGAAAAAATTATTTGGCGGGGGTCACACTCAGCTGTGCTTAGGGCTTACTCCTGGCTCTGCTCTCGGGGATCACTCAGGCCATATGGGAATCCAGACCAGACACATGCAAGGCAAATAAATATTCTACCTGCTGTACTATCACTCTGGCCCCAAACAGGAAATTTAATGCAGGAAAAAACATGCTTCAAAACCCAGATTCTCCATATTAACAATCACAACAGGATTTCTTGTTATTCAGAAATAAATTTCCTTTCAACCCTAATGATTTCTTATATTAAATTTATAAAAATTTGGCTGGGGGGGGAGCTCCCAAGCAGTGATCAAGGGGTCCATGGCTCCTCCTAGAGATCTGTGGGCAACCTGTTGGCAGTTCAGTGCCAGGGCCCAAGGATGTGGTGCTGTGCAGGCCCTGCGGTGCTAGGAATACTCAGTGGTGCTCAGGACGGGTGGTGCCAGGGATTGAACAAGGGTTGGGCTCATGTAAGGCATACAGCCAACCTCTGTCCTATCTCCCCAGACCAAAATTTATTATTTTTACAAGGCTGTAATCATAGTGTGATAAATCTAATCCATGTGCCTGGTAGAGACTAGAAGTGGCACAGCGGTGAAGGCATGAGACCTAGGCTTGATCTGAGGCACTGTCAAAACCAAAAAAGTCACACACACGTGTGACAAAATGGCATGGGCATATAAAGTTACATATATATATACACACACGATGTACTTGTATTGTCACTGTCACTTCCTCCCATTGTTTATCGATTTGCTCGAGCGGGCCCAGTAACATCTCCATTGTAAGACTTGTTGTTACTGTGTTTGGCACATGGAATATGTCACGGGTAGCGTGCCACGCTTTGCCATGTGGGCGAGATACTCTCGGTAGTTTGCCGGGCTCTCCGAGAGCGGCGGAGGAATTGTAGGTCAGGTCGGCCGAGTGCAAGGCAAGCACCCTACTGCTGTGCTACCGCTCCAGCCCCATACAATATTATACAATTATACAAAAGAATACTTACATCTCATAATTTCTTTTATGATGACTAATCACTAGAAGTTGACCAGCTGTAATTTCTGGATTTTTGTTTGTTTCCTAGGTCACACCCAAAAGTGCTCAGGGGCTATTCCAGTCTCTTGTCTCAGGGATTGCTGCAGGCAGTACTGAGGGGCCCTTTTTCGGGAACTGAAATCTGGCCTCCCACAGGCAAGTAGGAGCTCCAGCTCACTGAGCCATCCATCCGGCTGTGGGCAGTTGTAATTTCCGACTTTCAGACATTTAAAATTTTTGCTAATGTAGGTTTCTTTCTGTTACCCAAAAACTAGGATAATTTTCAAAGAATCCTATCAATTTTCAGTGCTATTTTCCCTAACCATTCTTTTTTCTTCTGGGTGGGGGTGGTGCTGGGGATTGAAGCAAAGCCTCCCACAGACAAGGCATGTACTCTGCTGGCTTCATTCTTACAAGAGCTCTGTACAGAGCTAATCTGTTTTCAATTTTTCTTTTCTTTGGGGAACCTACATGCATAAAGTCAAGAATTCTGGAAAAGGTCAACAATAAAAACTGCATTTTAGGTAAATGCCCCCTAAGGGCAAGTAAAGCTTCTTCTCTGTATCCAACCAGAGGTAGGTCTTCGGTTTTATGGGTCGTTGAGTGTTAAACCCAGGATGGCAGCAGGAGGAGGGAACTGCTTCTTGGAACCAGTCATTTAGAATGATCTTGAAAAAATAGAGGGGAAAAGAGCAACTTTATCCTCTTTAAGTCTAAAATGAGGAATTCGATACAGGTTTAAAATGCAGGAGAGGAAATTACTTAAATACAGTCGGTGTTAATTTGAGTAACTTTTCTAGTTTCTTTTTCCTCTTTACTCCCTACCCTCTAATCTTTGTTGGAATTAGTTCATTTTACCAAATTTTCGTGCTAATAATTTTGTAGGTAATAGCACAGCAGGTAGGGCGTTCGCCTTACACACGGTCAACATGGCCGACCCGAGTTCGATTCCTCCGCCCCTCTTGGAGAGCCCGGCAAGCTACCGAGAGTATTCGATATGCCAGACACAGTAACAACAAAGTCTCCAATGGAGACGTTACTGGGCCCGCTTGAGCAAATCGACGATCAACGGGAGGGCCTTTACCTTTACCTTAGACATAAACAAATAAATAGTAATTCTCCAGACAAAACTAATTAGATTAAAACTAGTTGTTATGATATAAATGAAAAGCTCAAATAAAACAAAAGCTCCATTAAGCATTTTTGCCTTATTGTAAGATTTGATTAAACTGCTATGTCAGACAAAGAATAGACAATAGAGGAGGAAAAAAAATAGACAATAAAATGCATTTTATAGGTATTCTAACAGCAAAAATTTTTATGAAGTTCTTTCAGATAAACTTGCAAATCTAAACAAAACTTTTAAAAAGCTGTAATGGTATATAAAAATCAGGAATAATACTAGCCACCAATAGAATGAAGCAGGGAAAAAAAGACCTTCAACGTATGGAGCAAAACCGGTGATTGACTTTGAAAATGGACCTTCTCCTTACACCATGACACAAAAATGAAATCAAAATGGGCCTAAGACCTAAATATAAACTGTAAACTCCTTCTAACAAAACATAAAATCACCTCCTCCTTACGTTTGTGGTGGTTCATTACAAAGGATATCAAAAGCACAAATGACAAAAGGAAAAAATAGGCAAATTGGGTGCATTACAAATTTTGTGTGGCAAATGATCCACAAGAAAGAGCTAACTGGCATGCAAGGAGGCCCAGTTTCTATCTCTGACACCTCACAGCCCGTTTCCCTTCCCCACCCCCCACCATCCTGCATGCCCTTGCATGTGACCCAAACAAAAGACTGAAAAGTCAAGTGAGAGAGATCGATTAAAGGGGTAGGGTGCATGCTTCTTGCATCTGGAAACCTTGATTTTGATCCCTGCCACAGCATGGTCCCTATATTCCACCCCAAGAAAACAAAACTGGAAAGACTACCTACAGAACTGAAATGTTTGGAAATCCTGTCTCTTATAAGTGACTTGTTTCCAGAATATATATATGTGTGTGTGTTTATATATACACATATATAATATTCCAGAACCCTAAAAACTCTTACAAGAGTCAATTTAAATATTGAGCAAAAAAATGCGAGTGGAAATCTCTCAAAAGTAAATATACAAATGGCCCATACACATGTAAAAGATGCTCAACATTAGTCATTAGAAAAATACAACTGAAATAATAAGCTATCACTTCACATTCACCAGGCTGGTCCTAACATAAAATAAATTTTTAAAAAGACATGGCCAGACATTTAAGCACATTAATGGCCATGATCCAGAAGCACAAATGAATTTTGGAAGAGAGCAGCATGCTACAGAGATGCCTCTGGACCCCAAAATCACCATCCTGTTAAAAAAAAAAAATTAACTCCAAGTCTAGCACCCTATGAAAAAAGTTTAGTATTCCAGGAGCACGCAGCCCCTTTCGCGGCTGCGCAGTATCTCATACAACTATGCCACTGGTATACCAAGAGTAGCACACCACATTTGATGGGGTGTAAGGTTGATGACAACCAATCTTAATAAAAATATATATATGTACATAAATATATATATATACATATATATATGCAAACAAGCTTCAAAACTCTAACATGTTAATGATCTCTAATACAGGGGCTTAATGGTTCCAAGATGAGATACAAGAATTTTCTTTGGTTGGTGGTGGGAAAACTTGTGGTGGGAAGGTGTAATGGTGGTGGGATTGGTGTTGAAATACTGAATATAATCAATTACTGTGAACAATTCCTTGAAAAAAAAAAAAGATATGGCCAGGGGCTGGAGAGATAGTAAAGCAGGTAGACTTGTCTTCCACATAGCCAACCCAGGTTCAATCCCTGGTATCCCATGTTCTCCTAAGGAGCACCAGGAATAATTCCTGGGTGCACAGCCAGGAGTAACCCCTGAGCATCGCAGGGACTGGCCCCCAAACAAGAAGAAATACAAAGACCTCTCAAAGGACGGGAGCACCTGTCCTCTGCATGCAGGAGCCCAGAGTTTCATTCCTGGCACACACCATCAAAAACACTGCCGGAGTGACCCCTGAGCATAGTGTCAGGAGTAGCCTGCAGCACCAACAGGTGTGACCCACAAACAAAAGCCCCAGTAAATAAATGACAGAGTAACAAGGAGGTGCAGAAACCGGAGCCTACACACAGTTGATGAGATAGGGAAAACAACTTGGCAGTTCCTCAGTGGTAAGCACCAAGTTAACAATGTCCCAGCCACTCAATGATGAGGTAGTTCTCCAAAGACACAAAAAACACCCACCCGATCAGTAACTTGTAGGTGAGCGTCCAGAGTGGGGCATGGACAAACCTGATGAATGGGGGATAACATACGATACCCCACTGGAGCGTGACTGATTCAGGCCTGGGAATCACAATGAGGGCACACACTGAGAAAGGGCTGAGTGAGGAGTCAGTCACAAAACACCAAGTCTAGATGAATTCCCATCTACAAAACGTCCAGACTTTATGGAGGTAGAAAGCAGATTAGTGGGGGCAGAGGCAAGTGCTAATTTTTGAGGCCCATTCCTGAGTTTCCATTTCTGGTAACACACAACACACACACACAGATATTAAGGAGTGGTAGAGCAAATGCTTATTTTTGAGGCCCATTCCTGAGTTCCCATTCCTGGTCTCACACACACACACACACACACACACACACACACACACACACTCGTTAAACACATACCTATGTTCTAGCATGCCTCTCTCCCCAAAAAGCCCCAGATAAGTTCAGAGCTCATATTTTAAAAAAGCTCCCTAGTCTTATCTTTCCTGAGAATATTTCATATCCACCCCTGAAATGCAAGACTGAGCTGGATTTACAACTACTGGGAAAATGATTATGTTTTCATTGAGAAATAAGTAGCCCTTTTACTTTCCAGATGAAATGGTTCAATGGTAATAAGTTTGAAGAAAAAAAGGCTCAGTGTTGAGATAAGAACAAACTTTTTTTTCACTTCCTTAATTTGCTGAAAATTAAATAGATGAACTCCAGTATCAAAGAGTTGGTTTTTCAGGGTGGACCACAAATTAATCCTATGCAACAAGTTGGTAAGGCATCAATAACATATATGTATGCTATGTCATGTGTAAGCAATTTACAAAATTAAAGTCAGCATCCAAGTACCAAAGTTCTTTAAAAGTCCTCCTTAAGCTGTAAACAGAAATGCTCCCAATTTATAGATTTTTGTGAGGACAGATTTGAGCTACTTGTTCAAAGGGCTACTCCCACTGTGTCTGGGTTAAGGTCACTCCTGGTGGTGCTAGAATACCACCCAGGCCTCAAGGCTCAGGCCCTCTGAGCTATCCCCAGGCCTCTGTTTCTGTCTTTTAAAGTTCACTTTGGGGATGGAGTGATAATACAGTAGGTAGGGCATTTGCCTTGCATGCAGCAGACCTGAGTTCGAACCCCAGCATGCCTGATGGTTCCTTGAGCACCACTGAGAGTAATTCCTGAGTGCAGAGACAGGAGTAACCCCTGGACATTGTAAAGCAAAAAAAAAAAAAAAGTACAAACAATTCACTTTAGGGTCAGGGTGACAGGACAGGGGTGAAGGTGCTTGTCCTACATGTGGCTTACCCCAGTTGACCAACAGTCCAGCACTGAATAGGGCCCCCTGAGCACCTACCTTCAGGAATGATCTCTGAGCAGAGTGGCCCCTGGGAAAACCCTCCCCCAAAGCAAAAACTAAAACAAAATTATCTTTTTTGGGAGAGTGGCATATCCAGCAGAACTAAGGAGCTGCTTACAGCTTGAGGTCTGGTTCCCCATGCACATCCTCGGTATGCATGGGGAACCAGAGGAATCAAGGGGACCATGTGGTACAGAGTATCTAACTGGGGCTCCTGCGTGCAAACCATGTGCTTCCTTCAGACCACTGGGCACTCTCTGTCCCCTCAAGTTCGTCTTAATGAGATCCACTCTTCTTTGTGAAGGCATGGAATCTCTAATTTTAGAGTCATATCTAAGTTTAGCTACTCCAGCAGAAGTCAGCTGACTTTCTTTTCACCATCTACTAGGTGCTGAGAATCTGAGAATCTTAGGAAAAGGCTGTATGACCAAAAAAAAAAAAAAATCCTCCTTTATAATCTGCCACCCACTGGCTTCCTGATTTGCGTTGGGGGTTACATCCTGCGGTTCTCAGGGATTACTTCTGGAGGGGGAGGACAACCATGCATTATTTTCGACCGGGTTCAGCTGCATGCTATACTATCTCTCCCGTCTTACTTTCCTAAATTTTTTTAATTTGGGGGCCACACCTGGCGGTGCTCAGGGCTTACTCCTGGCTCTGTGCTCAGACGCCGGGGGTCAAACCCGGGTCCGCCGTGCATAACGGCGTGCGCCCAGCCGGCTGTTACCATCTCTCGGGCCCATCATTTCCTCTTTTTTTTTTTTTTAAAAATTTATTTTTGAAGCCAAGCAAAAGCGCTTTAGAAACATCCGCTTGGGAGGCCATCAAAAGCAGTCTGGGCATCCCTCCGTCACTTCATCCGAATTCATCCGCGGTTTACTTGTCTTTGAAAAACTAGGGGCATCGCAGGGGCCTGGCTGGGAGGAGAGCATCACACTGGTGGTTTCGGGCGCAGGCTCGACAGGGTGCCCGGGATAACACCAGGCGTGAGCTGGGGAGGGGAGCGGATCTGCCGTGCAATAGGGCCGCGCCTTCCCCCCCCCCCCCCCCCCGCCTCCGAGCGCTGCAGAAAGGCCTCGCCAAGGGCCCTCCACCCGCGGCCTGGGGACCCGCAAGCGAGTCAGGGCGCGTCCGCGAGACGTTTCCCGCACAAAACGCCGAAGGCAGCCACCGCGGAAGACCCGGCTCCTCCCGCGTGTTCGTGTGCTCGGGCGGGGCGGGAGTGGGGGGTGGGGGCCGCCCGGCGGCTCCCGACGCGCCCGCTCCCACACCCGGCCGCGTCCTCAAGCCCGAGAGCGGGCAGCCGCGTGTCCCCGCGGGGTGCGGGGCGCAGGGCGCGGGGCACCGCGGCGCGCGGGCGGGCGGGCGGGCGGGCGGCCTGGCCGGGGCCGCGCTCCGGGACGCGCCTGCGCCTCCCCGCCGACCCTCGCCCGCCCGCCCGCCCGCGCCGGGCCGTTAGCGGGTCTCTGGCGGCCGCGGCCGCGCCGGGCCCGCGCGCGCACACATAACGGGGCGCCGCCGGCTGCTCACCCAGGATCTCCTGGCGCCGGCTGGCGTGCGGCTGGTCGGTGTAGACCCACTCGAAGTCCTCCCGCGACACGCGGCTCCCCATGGCGGCGGGCCGGCTCCCGGCTCGGCTCCTCAGAGGCGGCTGAGGCGGCGGCGGCGGCGGCGCGTGTCAGGCGGTGGCGGGCGGAGCGCGCGGAGACACGGGCCGGGGCGGAGTCCCGACGCCCCGCCCCGCCCCGCCCCGAGCGCCCGCGCCGGGGTCCCGACTCGCGGCCGGCGTGGCTCCCGCCCCTCCACGGACGCCCCGACGCGGTGGCGGCTCCGTCGGGCCGGGGTCACGGGCCGCCGCCGGCGTCGCTCTCGCGGTGGCGGCTCTCTTCAGGCGGGGGTCCCGGCGCGCCGCTGGCGTCTCTCCCGCCGCTCTATGGACGCCCGACGCGTCGGTCGCGACTCCCTCAGGCCGGTGTCCTGGGTCGCGGCTGGCGTCGCGCCACAGACACACCGACGCGGTCGCGGTTCCCTCAGGCCGGGCTCCCCCGGGGTCGCCCCTGGCGTCGCTCCCGCCGCCGCGCCACGGACGACGCGGTCGCGGCTCCCTCAGGCCGGGATCGCCGCTGGACCGTCGCCCCGCGGTGGCGGCTTTCCGCAGGCCGGGCTCCCCCGGGCCGCCTGCGGCCCCTCAAGCTCCCTCAGGTTCCCTCAGGTTCCCTCAGGCCCGAGGCGCCCGGGCTCGCGCGCCGCGGGGAAGACGGGAAGAGAACGGGCGAGCCTGGCCTCGCGCCTCCTCGGGGCCTCTCCTAGCTGCGGGCTCAGCGCCCACGGCCCGCCCGAGAGAGCGAATTGACTCTGAGGCCCCTGCGGCGCGCTTTCCCGGAGTGCGTCCGGGAGGAAGCGGGGCGCGGGGGGGAGACGCGCCCGGTCGGGGGATGAGTGGGGGGAAACACACGGCGACCCACCCGGGGCGAGAGGGGCGTGCGGAGGCCCTGGGCCGGCCCGACGCCTCAGCCCGCTCGGCCCTCTGCAAGATGGTGGCTCTGCCCGCAGCCCCGGAGGGCGCTGAGCATCCTCGCTCCGAGGGGGCTTTTGTCTCGAGGCGCGTGGCCCCGTGGCTCAGCGCGACAGCTGGGCGGACACGCGGAGCTGGTTGGGCTTTTTGCACCGGGCGGGTTTGGGCCGGCCGGAGGAGACCCAGCACCACTGCAGGGGAATGGTCGCGCCGTACCTCTGGGGTCTGCATAAAAACCAAAGCCACCGAAAAGAAAACTCTATTTCGGGTCAGTGGCACGCACACCCCTCCCCCTCTCCCCCGTCCCCTTCCTACTGTTTGTCTCCAGAAAATAGACCGCGCTCACACGCCAGCAGCAGCCACCAAGCCGCCCTCTGAACTGCCCAGATCAATATTGGAATATTGGAGATTTTTTTTTTTTTTGATGGGGAGGTCACACCCGCGATGCGCAGGGTTGACTCCTGACTTATGCACCCAGGAATTACTCCTGGCGGTGCTCAGGGGACCCTATGGGAGGCTGGGGAACGAACCTGGGTTGACTGAGTGCAAGGCAAACGCCCTCTCTGCTGTGCTATTGCTCCAACCCCTCAATATTGGGAGTTTTTGGGAGAGCCCCACCACATTCATTCGTGGGCTGGGGGCCTGGTTTGGTGGGAAAGCATGTATCCGGTGTGCCTAAGAATCAAGGCCCCACCTAGTTGGGGAGCCACTGTCTGCTTCTGTTGGATCTTGTAGTTTGATTGTTTTGGAGCCACACGTGGGGATGCTCAGGGCTTACTCCTGGCTCTGCACTCAGGAATTATCCCTGTTGGTGCTCAGGGTATCATATGGGATGCCAGAGATTGACCTAGGTGGGTTGCATGCCAGGCAACCCCTACCCACTGTACTAGGCTCTGGCCCCATCTCTTGTATTTTTTGTTTGTTTTAATTTTGGCCTCACCCGGTGGTGCTTAGGGCTTCCTCCTGGCTCTGTGCTGGGGATTACTCCTGGCAGGCTCTGGGGACCATATAGGGTGCTCCAGATTGAATAGGCTTGACCTTATGCAAGCCAAATGCTTTATTTGCTGTACTATTGCTCGGATCCCCAGCTCTTGAATATTTACTACTCACAGAGATATCAGTTCCCAGAGTCTGTCCTCAGGCCTGAAGTTTCTCCGAGCCATCCCTTCCTCATGGCTTCTGAGCCATCAGTTCTTGAATTTGTTTTTAGGCCACCCCCAGGGCTTACTCTTAGCTCTGTACTCAGGAAAGTGTGCTTCTGGTAGGGCTCAGGGAACTGAACCAGTGTCGGCCACATCCAAAGCAAATGCCTTACCCTCTAACTCTGCCATTTGTAGAGGGATGATTTTTCTCAGCAGATTTCCTCAACACAGAAGGGTCAGAGAGATGACTGGACTACATGCTTCATATAGGGGAGCCCCAGGTTCTGTCCCCTGTACTGTATATTCCCCCAATCACTGCACTGGAAGTGACCACAGAGCACTGCCGAGCGTGGTCCCAAAACAAAAAGATGCATTCAACATCTATTGATAAGGTTTATAGAGAACTAATAGTATTGAGTTTTTAGGTTAAAAAGAGAATTTACAAGGTTGCTGGATGAAAAAAAAAAACAGGATGCAAAAATTGATTTTCCAGGGGCTGGAGCGATAGCACAGCGGGTAGGGTGTTTGCCTTGCACACATCCAACATGGCTGACCCAGGTTCGATTCCCAGCATCCCATATAGTCCCCCAAGCAACGCCAGGAGTAATTCCTGAGTGCATGATCCAGGAGTAACCCCTGAGTATTGCCAGGTGTGACCCAAAAAGAAAAAAAAATTGATTTTCCAGGCTTGAGCAGTGGGTAGGGCACTTGACTTTCATGCAACAGATCCATGTTCAAGCCCTGGCATCAGATACATCCTGAGCACTTCCAGGAGCAATTTTTCTTAGTGCAGAGCCAGGAGTAACCCCTGAGCATCATAAGATGTGGCCCAAAAATGAACAAAAAAATCTGTTTTCCACCAGCTACCTGCTAATAATAATGCAATCAAATAGTATTCATAATAACATCAAAAAGTACCCAAGGATCATGACTCGATGGTCAAACACATGCAGTGTTTTTCCTTGCGTGATTCCCTGGGTTCAGTTCTTGACAACACATCAAGTTATACAAAAGTATAACTTTTATACAAAAGTTATACAAAAGTACCTTAAAAATCTAATAAAATATGTATCTTCAAAAGAAAACATTGAAAAACAAAATCGTTCTGGGTTAGCGAGAGCTCTAATAGGTTATCCATTTCAACTTGGTACAGTAAGGCAGGGGGTAGAAATAAAAAATCAATTGAAGAGGGGCCAGAACGATAGTACAGGGGGTAGGGCGTTTGCCTTGCACGCAGTCCACCAGAATACGTGAATTTTAGGGGGCAGGAATAAGAGAAAAGTAAACAACTAGAGGAAAGGATGGGGTTGGGGCTCAAGGGGCAGGAATACATCCTTTGCATACAGGAATCCTGGATCCAATCCCCAGTACCACAACCAGCAGGGCCTGAGCTGGGAGAAGCCCCTGAACACTACTGTGTGTGTGGCCCATGAAAAAAACCCAAAATCAGACAATATAGTGAGAAAGGCACTTGCATGTGGCAGCCCTGGTTCGATCCCCACCACCACATCATCAGGAGTGACCTCTGAGCACAGAACCAGGAATAAACCCTGAGCAGTACTGAGTGAGGCCCCCAATAAACACAGATTACTTATACACATCAAAACAAAACAGAAAAACCAAACACACCACTCTAAGTCCATAGGGACAGACTGATGATGGCCCTTCCCCTGGCAGGGGCTGGGGTTGGACCTTCCGGGCTGCTGCTAGGGTGTCACAGGCTCTGCAGTCTAGCACTTCCTGCAGAGCACTCTGACCTCCAGCTTCCAGGGCTGCAGGCAGCTCTCAAACGCCTTTGGGTCAAAACAAAACAAGAAAACTCAAAACACCCACAAACCAAACACATTTGTACAAAGGGGAAGTGTCAATACTCAGAAAAAGCTGGGTGAAGAACGCTATGGAGGAAAAAACAAGCGGTTGCAGAGAGTGTCCCAGCGCGCCCCCACCCCTGCCACGCAGGCTGAGTTCCTTGAAGCAGCGTGAGGTCACATGGCCTGCAGGGCTCCTCTGCTGATAAAACATCCCAAGGGGCAGGGGCCTCCGACCTCCCTCTCAAGGAAGGTCCTGAAGCGTCCAGAGCTGCCCCTAGTGATGCCCTGAGGGATAGCACAGAAGGGTAAGATGCTTGCCTTGCTCACAGCCCACCCTGCTTTGATCTCTTGCTCTTCATATGCTGCCCTGAGCACTGCCAGGAGGGACCCCTGAGCACAGAGCTAGGAATAAGTCCTGAGCGTCTCTGGGTGTGACCCCCCAAAATTAAAAAAAAAAAAAAGGAAGGGCAGAGAGAGATTACAGTGGGTAAGGCACTAGCCTTGCATAGAACTAAGCCTGGTTCAATTCCAGCACCATACATGGTCCCTAAACACCACCAGGTGTGGCCCCCAAACCTTACGTTCATATGCTCTCTGATCTTCAAACGCTCCTGAGCCCACTCTGACTAAATTAACTCTGTACAATATTCTTTATCAGTTAAGTCTATTAGAACTAAGTCTGTTAGAGACCAGTCTTTTTTCCTTAAGGGAAATGTTGGACATGGACTCCATGTCTTTGCTAGAGAACAATTTTGTGTTTTCTCTGGGCATGGAAAATACGTCTATTATTGGCACCAAATGTGTGAAGGCAATCAGTCACTAGGAGAAATCTATTGTCTGTTCTTTGGTCCTAAGTTCCCCAGTTGGCTCTTTTCCTCTTTTCCTAGACTCAAGTAGGGCTCAGTACTTCCCCCCCCCACCGCCCCCGCCCATAATCTGGCCAATTGGTTGGTGGTTCAAGCAAGGCAGGTGGGTATATATCAGGCGTGCACTTTATCTGCTGTATCCCAGGCCCTGAAAAACTGTAATCCAATACTTTCTTTTCTTTTGGTTTTTATGCCCCACACAGAGGTGTTCAGGAGGGGCACCTGAACTCCTGGTTCTTTGCTCAGGGGTCGTTCTGTGTTCCAGTGAGCATAGGCCCAAGCACTTTTTTTTTTTTTTTACGAAGTTTTGAATTCCTTTAACAGCAGTGATGATGTCAGCTGAGGGCAGAAACCCAAGAAGGGAACAG